TATCATATATATATATATATATTATGTATATAATATCTAATATAATACATGTAATATAATATAGACAGATAGATAGATAGATAGACAGATAGATAGATGGATGGATAGATAGTTGGCGAGGTCCTCATGACCTGTCACTGCACACATTAAGCAGTCTCTGCTATAAAGGCGAACGCAGCAAGCCACGAACAGACCCGCAATTCCGGGGCTTCGGCTGGAACTCCGATAAATACATCCCTTCAATTCGCTGCTGATGGCACTGCCACTCGGGTCAAGTGTGAGGCCCGAAGTCATTTCCTCTAAAGCTCTCCAAAGCCCCCCCCCAAGCCCTCCCGGAGCCTGCCACACTTGCTTGCTGGGGCGCTCCACATTGTAGCCTTCAAACCACGGATGCTTCCTGGGCCGGCTAAGCAGGGAGTACCAAGGGAGTACCAATGCTGCCTCGACAACGCAGTAGCCGGTACTGGAAGTCTAGTGACTCGTGCTTTGGGTGTAGTCTGGCTTCGCTTGGGACTTGAAAGGAATCAGGCATGTAGTCCGGAAGAACCTATTCCATAACTTTCACTGCAGACGTCCATTTGGAAAAGTAAAGCTGTGGATTACAGCTTGTAAAGCATCACGGCCGGTTCTTGTGACTTTCGTTTGTTTGCGACTACAGCTTAACCCATGCTTGCTTGGTTGCTAAAGCCCCTGGCCAAGGGCCAACCGGGCCAACCCCCCGAAGGCATGCATCAGTCAAGTCAGTCCGACTGTTCGGTCCGTATTCGGGGCAGGAGCTCACCCTCTCCCTCCCTCTCTGCCGCTGCAGACTGATGGTCCCATTGCAGGATGTCAACCTTTTTATCAATATGTATTTCCTGTTTCTTATCGTTTCTTGGCACCACGAACTGTTGTCCAGAGAAGGATTTCACGTAGTCAAGCGGCAAGCACTCGGATGCCGATGGCCGATGCCCGGGCTCGCGTTGAAGCCTTGAGGCGAGATCGCGGTGAAGCTAGCTTGTGATTCTGGAAGCGTTCGGCAATTGCTTAAGGCTTCATCCCGAATCCCGACTTCTCGAATGAGCAAGTGACCCGCAGCAGCTGCTGCAAAGGCTAGAAGTCTGAGCTGCAGGCATCCAGCGGAGGAGGTCCAAGGCATTCTCTGACAGGCCTCACACCACGTAGGCCCCGACACCCAACTCCCAGTGCATCGAAAGAAGCCCCGAATCGCAAACCGAAAAGATTCCAAACGAGCCCCGAAAACAGACGCACAAACACTGGAATCCGCCACATGCATAAAGCCAGCATTTTCTCATCATGCTGCACACTTCCAGCGACACAGGCATCCTGTGTCATCGGTTACCAGCATCTTTATCCACTAGGGTCAGTAACTACAATGACATAGGACACAAGCCAGATTCGCGACGAGTAACGCTAAGTGTATCAACAAGACAACCGACGGTCACGGAGTGAACACGATGCAATCCCATACGTCCCAAGAGCCGCACAATACCGAGGAACTCGAGATGCAAGGCGCAAGTGATAACAAAGCTGTAAGCCCTGAAAGTAAAGCCCTTCAACAGCTATGGCGTGATTTCAGCAGGCTCACTGGACCTGAACTTCAAGCTCCCGAACAGAACATCCAAACAGTTCTAAACATCAGCCGGTGGGTCAAGCAGCATTTTGGAGGCTACAGATTCGACAGAACATACGACATGCAGCACAAGTACGAATGCATGCGACCAAAAGACTGGAAGGACAACGAGAAGTGAATTGATCTTATAAGTGTCTAACCGGCACGCGCTTAAAGTCAACCCTTTTCCTTTGTTGAAGAAGTTGCCTCCGGTGGAAGTTCCGAGCTCGCTGAACTCGGGCTCTCCGAGGCAAATACGCTGTACCAGGGCCTTCCCAGTGCCTGCGAAGCTGCAAACTTGAGGATCTTGCCATGTCTGACCCCTGTAGTAACTCAACCCTTCTAGCTTTACCGAGGTCTAAGAAGTGCACGGCTGCTTTGACGGTTGCGGTTTGCCTGTTCATCTCTCATGTTCTCGCTTTTGCTCTGCCGCTTCAATCTTGCGCCTGCTGCTGGTAGCGCCACTGCTGCCCTTCCCTTGCTGCTAGCAAGCATGTCTGGTGTCATTGCCATGTGCACTGCTGTGCCGCAGGTGGACGACACTGACAGGCGTCGCTCACTTATTCGACTGGGCTGTAAGGACTGCAAGCAGGACCTTGACGCTTCATGTCAGCTGGAACTCTGGTCTGCTGTGCTCATTTGATCTCATATGCTTTGAAGAGTTGCTTGGGTATGTGTGGGGTGCACGGCAGCCAGCACGTATTTCTACTTGAATCCTGATTGCCCTGAAGTGCCTCCGAACGGAGGGTGCCCATGAAGCAGTTCGAAAATCACACAACCGGCGGCCCAAACGTCCGACTTTGCACCTCAGATGCTCAGAGCTGACAAGACCATCAGTTGAGGGCTCGAAGAACCGTGGCGCTGACAACGCTCAGGCTTGGACCCAGTACAGTAGCAGCAGTTCAGTCTTGATCATAGGGTAGCTGATGGATTTGTTGCAAGCATTTCTTCGAGCTCAGCTGTGGAAGCTTGCGTGGTCCCGCAAGGGAGGGCGAGCGGCTGAACTCCCCCTGCTTCACCACTTCGGGGGCAGCAGTCAGCAAGTCGCACGGCCTCTGTGCAGTCATGATGAGAGGGCTAGGCCCTAGGCACAGCCCTGGCCTGAACAACCTCGAAAGCGAGCTTAACCACTGTTACGAATACAACAATTGCAAGGTTTCTTCGAGCTCGTGCCAACCACCTGGCCCTAGCACCTCGGCAGATTGTACATCAGCCCAGGCCTGTTCACACAACCTCAAGTACCATCGCTACGCGAAACTCTGGGCCACCTAAACTTCCTAAACCCCGAGATCTCTTAACCCCCGACAGCCCCGACAGCACCAGAAACCCGAAAGGCAAGACCTGATTGGCCGAGGCCTGCCCTCTTCGACCATGAAGTTCTTCTTGCGCGGGAGCGCGGCCAAACACCAAAGATCTGCGAGCTTGCCTCAGGCTCAAGCTCTCGGATGCCTCCAACCGCAGCTCGAAAAGCCCATCTACAAGTAACAGCCTCCAATGCAGAACCCGAAGCCTTTCTTATCCTTCTCTACAGTGTGCGAAACAAGATCCAAGAATCAACTTTCCGGGTCGTCAGCGTCCGCCAGGACGAACTGCTGAAGGCGAAGGTCTCGATGCCTCTGTTGGATCGGAGCTGACGGCTTGTTGGCAATCAGAGAGAGCTACGGCGTTTTGAAACCTGGATCCGGAATCTGCTGATGCCCAGAAAATCTTAGAAATATCAGTGCGAGCAACGTGCGTTTCAGAACACCGATCATCCCAAGTACAGTGGCGCTCGCTAAGACGATTAAGTGTGTAGACTCGGATCTTGAACCCTGGGCCTTGCAGCCACTTTCTGTCCCTGAAACACCTCCGGCAGCCGAGCCGCAGCAATCGCCGGGCGTGCAAATGATCAAGAGCCTTCAGGATACGGAGGGAAACACCTTGGCGCAATCTTCTCTTTGGTCATTGACGCGAAACTTCAGATTATAGCTGGCCTTACAGCACTAGCTTTTAAATCTGAGTTCGTGGATTGAATGAGCGACAGCTTGGAATCATGTGCACACTTGTGCGAAACACGGCTGAAACGGATCTGTGGGAAGACCCTTGGAAGATTCTGAGCACGCAAATTCTCGGGCCCCTGGCGGCAGGCAGTGTATTCGTCCAGCAACTCCTGCACCGCTCACGTGCCAAAAGCGCAGCAGAAATACTGCAAAATATGGGCTCATATGGGCTCCAAGTCCTGGAAGGCATGCAGTATTTCAAACCCTGAGCGAACAGGTGCTCTTCGTACACAAGGGCCCAACCACGATGCCAATGCGTCACGAATGAACCCACGCAAGGCTTATCGCTCGGAGGAACCTCGAACACCGCCCTGCCTTCTTCTCCAAGTACTGGTACAAGGTGCCACCTGGCAGGTACTCCAATACCTCAGCCAACTTTTCGTCAAGCGCACGTGAATCCTCAGCCCTCTATAAACATCCCTATACTGTTCCTGTGATTGCCAAGCGGCCTCGATGAAGAACTCACGTGTGTCCTGCACATGTTGAAGCTTCACGATGGTCTCCTCAGCGGCATGGACCCGAAGGAACTGTGGCACAAATCAACAAACTGGTGTGTTTTACAGCCGATCTCAAGTTCAGACATGTTTAGACGTAGACTCTGTGGGCCGCAACACTTGAAGCCACTACCTGAGCGGAATGCACTCCGAATGGTCTTGTGCTGGGACACGTGGAGAATAGGCCGCTTGACCAAGCGCAGCCTTGCGAGCAGCCTCCGCAGCATGCCTGCATTTAGAACCCAAGGGTTGAAGCGCGTCGGCGTTTGTCGCACTAGCGTCACATAGCGTCAGCTGAGCAATCGCAGTCTCACAGTTGATGCAGCGCCTGCCCCACAAAACACTTCCTGTCCACGCTCCAAACATGATCATTTAAGACAGTGAGACGCGTAAAGATCAATCTCTCTCTCTCTCTCTCCCTCTCTCTCTTTCTAATTTTCTGCCAAAGAGCGAAGTGCAGGGGGCCAAGGAAGGGCGCGGTTGCGGAGAAGCGACGCTGAGAAGTTGAGGTCCATCCTGGCGTGGAGCTTTTCTAGGTAGTAGTACTGGATGGATAGAAAAATAGATAAGCAAATAGAAAGATAGATAAATGGATAGATAGATAGATAGATAGATAGATAGATGGATAGATAGGTACATAATGGTACATATACAGAGACATAGATAGATGCATACGTGGACACATAGATAGATACATAGATAGACACAGTGGTCCTAGTCGTCTTCCTCGTAGTTATAGTAGCAGTAGCAGTAGCAGTAGCAGCAGCAGCAGCAGCAGTAGCAGTACCGGTAGCAGTATTAGTAGTAGCCCTGGAGATTCACTCGCCTAAAATATTCTGCGCGTTTTGGATGTTTTGATTTTTCCAGGCGTATTAGGCGCTTAGTTTTTGTTTGCGGATATTTGCGCTTTCTTGCGGCTTTTTGCGGGCGTTTTGCTGGTTTTTTGCGGGCGTGTTGCGGGTGTTTGTGGTTTGTGGGCGTTGGCGCTGGTTTGCGTGCGTTTGCGGTCGAAGGTCAAAAAGCACAGAAAAATGTACGAGTAGTCAAAGGAATCTCCAGGGCAGTACTAGAAGTAGCTGTAGCAGTAGTCGAAGTAGTCGTCGTCGTCCTAGTCGTAGTAGTGGTAGTAGCAGCAGCAGTAGCAGTAGCAGTAGCCGTAGCAGTAGAAGTAGCAGTAG